CAACCCCACTGCTCAAAGCAAGGTCAGCAAGAGAAGATTGCTCAGGACTGTGTCCAGTTGGCTTTGAGTATGTCCACAAAAGGAGACTCCACAAACTCTCAGGGCAACCCATTCCAGTGTTCAACCACCCTCACAGTAAAAAAAATGTTTATTGTGTTCAGATGGAACTTCTTGTGTTTCGGGAAGTTTCCTGTGTTTCTTGTCCTGTCACCAGGCACCACTGAGAAGAGTCTGGCTCTATCTCCATTAAACACTCCCATCAGAGAGATGACAAGATCCCCCTAAGCCATCCCTTCTCCTGGCTGAACAGTCCCAGATCTCTCAGCCTCTCCTTGCATGACAGGTGTACTAGTCCCTTAATTACCTTAGTGGCTCTCCACATGTTTCACTCCACTCCAGTACTGGGGAGCCCAGAACTGAACCCAGCACTCCAGATGTGACCTCACCAGTGCTGAGTAGAGGGAAAGGAAGACCCTTGACCTCCTGGCAAAACTCCTCCTAATCTAGCCCTGGCAGCTATTGCCATTCTTTGCTGTGAGGGCGCACTGGTGGTTTATGTTCAGCTTTTTGTCCACCAGGAACACAACACCGTCATTCTCTGCAAAGCTGCTTTCCAGGTGGTCAGCCCCCAGCATGTATTACTGCATGGGGTTGTTCCTCCCCAGGTGCAAGGGTTTGCACTGCTTCTTGAACTTCATGAGGTTCCTGTCTGCCCAGTTCTCCAGCATGTCCAGGTTCCTCTGAATGGTAGCACAGACACCTGGTGCATCAGCCACTCCTATCAGTTTTGTATCATCTGCAAACTTGTTGAGGGTGCAAGTTGTTTCATCATCCAGGTCATTAATGAAGAGTTAAACAGGACTGAAACCAGTGTCAACTGCAGCAGACACCAGTAGTGACTGGTCTCCAGCTGGACTTAGTTCTCCTGATCACCACCCTCTGAGCCCAGCAGTTCAGCCACTATTTAGTCCACCTCACTGACCATTTATCTAGCTCATACTCCATCAGTTTGTCTACGAGGATGTTCATATTGAAGTTTATCTTGATGTATAGACTCAACTGGCCAGTCTTTGCTATGCACTTGGTTTCATGATCACAACTGCGCACTTAGTTTCTTAGGGACTCTCCACTAACACCAGGTATCTGCAGGCTGCCCTGCACTGGTATTCCTCAGCCTCTCCTTTTCAGAAAATCCACTGAATGACCCCAAGGCACTTTTGTACGTTGCTGAATAAGGTCAGGTAACACAAGCTTTGGACACCAAGCAGGGAACAAAGCTTGGCAAAACTGGTACATACATAGATGATACATAACTAAAAAGCAGGTATTCACAGTAACAGGTTCTCAGTACTGGGTGACTGTGTCAGATGTTTTGCTAGGGCACTTTCAGTGAAGAAAACACCATTTGAAATAGTATTTGGACTGTTTTGTAAAAATGCTCATTCTGGGATTAACCTTTAAACTAATGAGTCATTTTGTGAGATTACTTTCCCCTATGTTGGGTCCATCCATTTAAATACATTCCTGGACAACACCTTATTTTTTTTTTCTTAAATAAGCAAAGTAAAAAGCAAAGCAAAAGCCCAAATGATTCTTCTGCATGGTTTATTATGAAGCTACCTACAGATTGACATGAACTGTGCATTTTACCCTACTTGTGTAGTCATCTCATATAACTGAACATTGTGGAGTTGCACCCAGGATTTCTGCTATTCCTTGGGTTTCATTCATTGAAATTTCTGTGTGGGAAGAATATGGATCCTCCATTGCTTTCATAGTCTGATTTTAAATATGTTCTCCCTCAAGATGTCAACCTCACTGCTTATCCTTTTAAAAAAAAAAAGTAAAAAAATAAAAAACCTTAGCTATATTGGCAGTGTTTTGTATTTTCTCAGTCCAGAGATGCTTGTCTGAAAAAGACAGAAGAATGTTATGTTCTCTGCTGGTTAACTCTTAATGGCACTGAATGGGAGATGTATTCCTTGTGTGCATCTTTCCTCACATGCCTCACAAAAGTTGGCCCTTTGCCACTCTCTCTTCTTAGATACTCTCCTTCTAGAAGAACTGTAGGAGGATTGTGGCACAATGAATGACAGCACAATAATGAGGCAAGCAAAATTTAAGAGTGTTAATTGTGAATTATTTGATTTGGAAAAGCAACCATAACTATACATACAGAGTGATGTGCTCTAGGCAAGTTATTACTATTCAAAGAAAAAACTTATCAGTCACTGGAGAAAGTTCAATGAAAAATAATGTCAACACACAATGCTATTCAAAAGGTAAATATAACGGGAAGTATTCAGTTGTTTCTTGAATAGTGAATACTGTAGTGGTCCTCAATATTAAAAACAATTATAGAATCAGAAATTAGACAGAAAATTATTACTGGACAGCCATGGCTCAGAATGGCTTCTTTTGGTGGACAAGCTAAACAGGCAAGTACACTTCACCTTGGGAAAGAGACATCTAAGTATGAGAGACACATGGAGAAAGTGACATGAATTCTTACAGCACAAGAACTAAGAGGTATCAAATGAAATGATCAGGTAGAACTTTGGAAATAAAAAAATACATTTTTTCATATTGCATAATTAGATTCACGGCTTCAGGGATGCTATGTGTAACCAGAAGTATAAATAAGATTTTTTTTAAAAAAGCAATTAGATGAATCCATAGAAGAAAAGCGTATAAAATATTGCTAACAAATGCACACCAAACCCCTGGTCCACAAAGCCCTTACACTACAGATTGCTAGGCTGGTATACTAGGAAAGTATAATTCTGTACTGTTTTACAGGATTTCTTTAAGCAGATCTGTTCTCCCAGGTTTGCCTCTCGGTTAATTCTCACAGTCTAGCAAGCAGTGTAACACTGGCATATTGCAAGCAGGGAGGCAGAGCCTTCTACACTGTGGCACTGAGTATCAGTGCCGTGTATTCCTGCTAGTTCTTGTGCAGGCTGTGTGGAAGTGTTCAAGCCTCTCTTCCCGGGCAGGTATCTGTCCCCTCAGCGTGCAGCCTGGCAGGGCACCCACACAGCACGGTGTGGGCCTCTGCTCCCTGGGGCACCAAGATCTGCCACAAAGCAGAGTGTGCCAGCCCCTCCCTCCTGCTGCAAGGAGGCAGAGCAAGCTGACAGAAGGGAAGAGGAAAAGGAAGCTGCACATTTGTGTCATTCCGTTATCTGTTCAGGCACTTAGCTCACACCAGTCACGCGTCTTTCCTGTGTATCTATTCCTACAGCTGCAAACATCATTTCTGGGGAAAACTTGGCCAGTTACATCTAGATAAGTTAGTTAAATTACAAGTATCCTACTTGGTTAGTCTTAAGGACCCAAGCCTATTCCTGTCCTTGGCCTCAAAATAGCTTCACTTACGAGATCTATGGAATCAGCAGCACAGACTTGCTTTCTTTGTTTCAAAATTTTTCTGCACCGGGCACTGTCAGAGATACAGTGCTGGGTTAGCTGGATGTTCGATCTGACAGGACAGCTTGTTTGACTGCTATGATGAGGTTCACTATTATCCTGTTCCACTTATCTCTGGAAACAAGAAGAAACAAATCTCCAGATACCTTTTTAGCTCTCACTGCATTAACTTACACGATTACATACAGGAAAAAAAAAATTCCTCAAACTTAGTGCTGTTTCATTCACTTGTTACTTTACCCTCAGCAATAAACTGTGCTTACTCAGTCTTCCATGGATAGCTTAAATTACTTCTAGCACAATTAGCCCTGCTATGCCTGGCTCTGTGGGTATGTAACTTTCTAAGTTTTCTTATGCTTTTCTTCCAGTTTTCAGAGTAAACATTTAGTACTTTGAGACTGTCATAGGCTACTGCATAGCAGTAAACTTCAACACCAGTCTTCACAGAGAAGTTACTGTTAAAACCCCAGCAGTTTAAATGCTACTAGCCTTATCATAGTTGATAAAAAACCTAATACCTATACGCTTATTTTGGCCATGTTTCTGTAAAGTCACACTCAATCTGAAATTAACTTTTACACTGCAGCATTTTCACCACTTCTAATGGTTTGTGCTGTGTTTTCTCTTTGGTTTGCTGTTTTACCAAAGGCCTTCTCATCCCAGCACCACAGGCCACATAAAAATCCACTTTCACTTGAAACTCAAGCTTTGACCCAAGGCTGCAGGATAGAAAAGCATGCTGGGGAAAAGTGCCCAGGCCCACTGCCAAGGACATGCAGGGATCCACGAGTCGTCGTCCCCCCCGCCCCCCCCCGATATTTGTGTGGCGGCATGAAACCCAGCCCCGTGTTTTGGCACGGCCCAGCCGTGGCTTCCCAGTTCTCGGCGTGACACCACCCCCTTTT